GTTCTTCAACAAGTAGTACCACTTCTCAGGCTGAATCTATCACAAGCCCAAGTAATTTTTCTGATTTATACAGTGCACTTGTTAAGGCTAAAGAATGAATTGAAAGTGTGAATCAAGAAATTATTATATGCTATTTTGCTTTTAGAAAAAAGCTTGAGGAAAGGTTAGCCGAGTATAAGAAAGATAATAAAGAGCATAAATCTCAGAGAAAACTTTATAAAGAAGTTGAAAACCAGCTCCCATCTAACCTCTCAAAAAATGCAATTGAGAAAAGAATAGAAAGAGCAAGAAAAATTTATGACCTTTTTAGTAGCATAGGTGAGGATAAAATACAACAGGTAAGATCTTATTCGGCATTGAGAATTTCTAAATTAAGTTGGGATGAAATTGATGCTATAGAAGAGGAGTTTGAATAAGATCATCTTTACTGCACCACAATCACATGACTTTGGTTAACCGATCGGTCAGTGAAACCAGAACAGCTAAAGTACGTTAAGCCACCAAAATTAATAAAAAATTTGTTTTAATAGTAGGCATTGATTATTTTAGAAATTACATATTTTTTGTATATACTTGTTAAAAGATCAAATTTCATATTTTTTTATGAAGTTTTATTTGAGTGATTGTTTCAAAAATCACTTGCGAAATATATAATTTGTGCAATTTATGCTAAAGAATTTCTGCAGGGTCTTGGCCTTACAAGGCTTATGCTTAATTTATTTGTAAGACGGGCACAAGTATATGGTATCACATATTGGTTTGTATAGCAGAACCAGTGTCGAAAGACACATGATAAAAAAAATAGCCACGTATTTTTTTTTCTGTCAATATATAACAATAAAAGGATATAGTATACTTACAAATAAAAACAAACAAAATTATATTGAAAAGTGGCATATCTTTAAAGGGTGGAAGTGCGGGTGTAAGGTTTGTGACAAATGCAATATCATTCACACCTGTATTGCAAAACATGCAAAAAGGTGGCAGATGGAATATATAAGCGATGTGAATGCAATAATGATAATTCTCGAATAATTAACGTGTTAGAATAAATTCCGCATATAAAATTTATCTGTATCACCTTCATTATGCATACAGTAACTTATTTGTGAGACAGGCACAAATACAGATTGCCATTTTTCTTTCTGGAATTGGTACCTAACCAAAGTCGGCCAATTATCTCATGCCACATATTTTCTGACTTCACTTTATGGGAAACAAAACACCATGCTGAAACCTTATCTAGCCTAAAGGCGCACAAGATATGCATATACAACGCAATTTTAACCTTACATGGCTCGATATATGCACATCTCTGGAAATTTCATATCTATTGTCAAAAAGATGGTGGAAAACAGATAAAAGAGCGGTTATGTTGTTTGCAATTTGAGCATTATTTCGTTATTAAAAAGCATTATTTTTTTTCGCTCTTTTTCGACTTTTATTTTTACTTAGTTTTTACTTATCATGACTTCCGATTACTTATTTGTAAAACTTACTGAGCATTTATATGATTTAAAAACTGAGCATATTATGGCAGCCACACTTATTTATCAAGGATTGGAGGAGAATCCATGGATTAGCAAGAATAAACTGAGGGGCATTGTGAATAGAGCAGTTGACTTGGTAAAATGTTCGACTACTACGAGTTCTAAACGCAGTGAAAAACTTACTCAAATAATGCCACAGGTAGCTACAAAATTTTCAGAAATAAATAATATTGATATACAGAATGATGAGTAACGCAGATAGGGGCGCGTTTCTAAGGAAGCGGGTATGACAATATAGATTTCCCTATTAGCCCGCCAACAGGAATTTTCCTCGACGGCGTGGAGGGTGTTTATATTGAAGACCATATTTGTTTCTATGTTGATGATATAGTGCCTCACAAAGTCTTATTCGTGTAGCCAGGCCGTACCGGATGTGGCTTTGTACTATTCTGACTGCCACGTGGTTAATAATCTAGAGAGCGCTTTGCAAAATTTTGATTCTAACTTATTTTTTACATCTGCGTTTAGTTCGATATCGCATTTGATACTATTAGCAACTTGCTAAACATCGGTGTAATAAAAATAGTATGTTTCAAAAGGGGTGAGAACGAAAGAACTTTTAGTAACAAATATATATTTTTTATTAAAGTAAAGAGAAGCCACTTACTTCTAAACAAATCAAATATAACATCGATAAGTTAAAAGGGAAGCTTGCGGTAAGTAATACACAAGATTACTCGTAACATATTATCAATATTTAACAAGAAATTTTGTATTTGTTATTTTCAAGAATGGCAAATCAAAGTTTTATCAAAGATTACCATAAAATGCCGTATAAAAGATCCAGGTCTGTTACATTCCACCAAATTTAAAACCTAAAATAGACCCGTGGGTCTATTGTACGGATATAGGGTCTGATGAACAGGGGTTTTTATGTGAGGGGTCTGATAATCGGTAGATTTTATGCGGGCTAAGTAGTACCGATACATGCATCGTGTGTTATAAAAGGTTTTTTTTTTATTAACATTACTCAAACCATTGTATCAGTAGTATACGTAGTGGAGGGTAAAAACGAATTTGACGTCGCCCAAGGTTAGCAATCTAACCAGCTCAGAAGCAAAGTATGAAAACTCCCAATGACTACGAAGTTAATAAAGAGACCGCAAGCTCGATTACAAAGAAAACCTTTTTTTTTTTTATTTTTTATTTTTTTTTTTTTTTAAAAAAAAAAAAGAATAATCAAAAGAACTTGTGCTAAAAACTGATAAAAACCAAACGCTAAAGTCTGCGGCATTATAAAGAACTCTTAAAGGCTTAATGAATTATTAGAATCGACCCAAATGACACAAATATATTTAAAGTTATCTTATAAAATTAATCACTAAACATCCAGTTATTTTAATTTACCAATCTTTAAAAAACTATATATTGAGCAATTATTTGTTTCCGTGCTTAAACAATTGTCCAAGGCATGATCATAAGGGCATACAAGCATCACAGACTATGTATAATTGACTTATTAGCATAATTAGCATGTGCAAAATTTATTTTATCGATTTTCATATATATTATCAAGGTTCAAAAATTATCATACTTCATACTTCTATCGTATTTCGAGTTTTAGCGAAAAAGGTAATATTAGATTAGTGTGAAGGTATTGATGTGATAATAGTTTAACATATATTTAAGCATTAGAAAATGACACGTAAAAGATCAATTTTAAAACAAGCAAATATTACAAAAAAAAAAAAAAAGAAGTTGGAATGTTCGTGAAAAATTGGCAATTATTACGTACCTCGAAAAAAACCCTGCAGCTAGCAAACGAAGCACGGCAGAAAAGTTTAATATAACTCCAAAACAATTACGGGAATGGATAAAAAAAAACAAGAATTAAAAAATGCACCACCTTGTGTTAGACGGTTAAATATTGGTGAGCGTGCCAAATATCCGCTTTTAGAAGTTGATCTTAAAACTTGGGTTAAATCTTTGCGTTCACGCCAAAAGATTGTATCTCGTTATATGGTTAAAACCAAAGCTAGTCAACTTGCAAAGCAACCACGTTTTCTTTCACTTTATCCAATGATCAATGAGTGCAAATGGAGTTACAAGTGGGTTGATGGTTTTATGCGCCGTAATAACTTTAGCAACCGGTGCCGTACTACTGTAGCACAAAGATTACCAGAAGACTTAGAATCTAAAAGAGATGAATTTTTAAGTCATATATTATATCATCGCATGCGATACAATTATCCTCTTTCACTTATCGGTAACATGGATGAGACTCCATTAGCATTTGACATGCCCAGCAATTATACAATCGAAGAAACTGGTGCTAATACTGTTGGAATCCGTACAGCTGGTTATGAAAAATCTAACTTTACGGTTGTTTTAAGTTGTTTAGCTGACGGAACCAAGCTGCCCCCTATGATACTTTTTAAATTAGTGAATGTATCACGGCAAGTATTTCCATCAGGCATTGTTGTACAAACCAATCGGAGTGGGTATATGAATAGCGATGAAATGATTTTTTGGATCAAAAATATATGGAATCGACGAGCTCCTTTATCCATCAATCCTCATTCGCTATTAGTTTTGGATGCGTTTAGTAGTCATCTTACAGACTCAGTTAAGAATCGATTTAATGAGAAAAATACTAACATGGCAGTCATCCCGGAAGGACTTACGAAAAAGTTGCAACCACTAGACATATATATTAATAAGTCCTTTAAAGACAAGGTAAGCAAATAATATATATATATATTTTAATATATATATATATATAATCCCTTTTTTTTTTTTTTTTTTCATATCAAGTTTCAACTCTTTCTGACGATCCCTCATACCAAAATTACAACAAACCTTTTTTCCAAAAAACAGTAAACTATGGAAGCAGAGAGTGGCAGAAGACTGATAAAAACCATAAACCGGCACCTGTTATTTAGAGATAGTTCTCATACGCTACCTGCTAAC